TCTCTCTCCCTCTCCCTTCCTCACTCTGAAATCAATAAAAACATATTTTAAAAAAATTAAGAATAGAGTTACCATATGACCCAGCAATCCCTCTCCTGGATATACACCCAAAAAACTTGAAAACATATTCACAAAGCTATATGCACTCCTATGTTCATTGCAGCATTGTTCACAGTGGCCAAGACATGGAGACAACCAACACGTCCTGGATAAAGATGTGGTACATATGTACTATGGAACACTACTCAGCCATAAGAAAAGAAGAAATACTGCCATTTGCGACAATATGAATGGACCTTGAGAATATTATGCTAAGTGAAATGTCTGTCAGAAAAAGCTAAGAACCATATGATTTCGCTCACATATGGGATATAAAACTGAAACTCGTGGACACAAACAGCAGTATGGTGGTTGCCAGAGGGAAGGGGGTGGAGGAGTGGGGGTGAAGGGAGCCTAATATATGATGATCGAGGGTGATTTGACTTTGGGTGGTGGGCACACAGTGCAATATACAGGTCTGGTATCATAGAAATCTACACCTGAAACCTTTATGATCCTATTAACCAATCTCACCCCAGTACATTTAATTTAAAAAAAACAACAACAGTGTACACGGTAGGCTACCTTGTGTGTAATAAGGTGGGAGATATATTTGTATACGCTTGCTTAAAAACCCTAGAAGGGAACATTAGGGGGTTGGGGTAGGAATGCAGGAGTGAGTACAAGATTCCTCTGGGCGTATCACTTTTATAGCGTGTTAAATTTTAGACCACGTAAATGTAGTACCCAATAAAAATAAATATTTGAAATTTTTAAAAAAGAAAGAAGCTCCACACAATCCATCAACACCTCTGCTTCCCCACCTGTACCTGTAATGCGTCTGGATGAATGTCCGGGCATAGACAGCTCTCCTGTGTATTATTCCAATGTGTCTCTCCAGTAGCTGTCCACTCTCATGCATCCTCCGTGTGAGCCTCCATTAGATGACTCCACGCCAAGGACAAGCTGGTCTCATTGCCATTTTTAAAAACAAACAAACAAACAAACCCAGTGGCCCTACATTCCCTTCCAGTTACCACTCTTGTCCGTTTCCCTTCCCACAAAAAAACCCTGAAGTAGGTGCTTGTGCTCACTGTCCCCTTCTCTCCTGCTCACTCCACCTGTCTCCCAGGACTCCATAAAAACTGCTAAAACTTTCTGAAGTCACTGGTGACCTCCGAAGGGCTCTGTTTTCTGTCGTCACCATATCTGACTTTGGTGAAATTCTTATTTTCTTGGCATCTGGGACACCATCCCCTGGGGCCACAGTCCTGGGACCTCATTTGTCCACACACACTCCCTGCTTTTTGGACAACAGTTCTAGAAAGGACTAGAAGCCGTGCAGTGTGGTGTGGTTCAGAATCCAGACTTTGCCTGAACCCCAGCTCCAGAGTGACCCCAGGCGAGTTCCTCAAGGCTACTCAGTTTCCTCATCTGTAAGACAGAGGCCCTACCGCACCTAGCTTGCAGGCCGTAACGAGAAGTTAGTGGCATGCCTGGCATCAATAAGCAGTAGTTGAGCCAGGCCAGGCGTGGCTCAGCGGTTGAGCATCGACCTAGGATCCAGGTGGTCAGGGTTCGATTCCCGGTCAGGGCACATGCCCAGGTTGCAGGCCTGATCCCCAGTCAGGGGCGTGCAGGAGGTAGCCGATCCACGACTCTCTCATCATTGATGTTTCTACCTCTCTCCCTCTCCTTTCCTCTCTCTGAAATCAATAAAGATATATTTTTAAAAAATAATCGGTAGTTGATATATCACTATTACCAGGTTGCCATGGGTGGTGGTGGCCAGAGGTGTCTGAGCTTGCCCAGGGAGAATGACAGTTTGGTGATGTGCAGGGAGGGACAGAGGAGAAGCTAACCCCCTGCCCCCACTTCCCTGTTACAACTTGCAGGTGAAATGGAACAGATATATTGTAAGGTTGACACTGAATATGGGGCTCACCTGCTTTACAGTAGAGACAACTGCACATAGAACAAGTGGTGTGAAAATCAGCCCGCAGACTGCTTGCCCTTTAAAAACTAGATCTCTATAAAGAGTGTAATCAAATAACTGCCCATGGATGATCCCAGTTAGAAATGCAGATCATCTACTGAGCTGGTGCCCAGCACCCTTCCCTCCCTTCTGCTCCCCTTCTCACAGCCCCACCCCCAAATTCCATGTAGGAGGAGTGAATAAGAGCCATCAATAGGTTTTAATGATGAATGAACACACAAAATGTGGTCCACCTATACAATGGAATATTGTTCAGTCATAAAAAGAAATGAAGTACTGACACATGCCACAACATGGATGACCCTGGAAACATGATACTCAGTGAAAGAAGCCAGACACAGGTCACATACTGCATGACTCCATTTACATGGATGTCAAGAATAAGTGAGTCTATAGAGACAGAAAGATTAGTGGTTGCCAGGGAATGAGAGAGAATTAGGAGGAAATGAGGGGCAACAACTATTGTGGGGAGCGGTTCTTGTAAGGCAATGAATTTGTTCTAAAATTGATTGTGGTGATGGTTACACAATTCTGAATACACTAAAACCACTCAATTTTACCCTTTAGATGGGTGAATTATATCTAATAACGCTGTTATTTTAAAAACGGTTTTATTGACCCTAAAGGTGACCAAAGTCCAGGGATCCCCAAAGCAGAGGGTTCCAGAGCTCCTATCTTCAGCCACAGTGGGATCTGGCTGCTCTGATGGTGCCATTAGCACAGCCCTTCTCAGAACAAACCTGCCCTCACCCAGAATAGATGGAAGCTCAAGTGAAAGATATGAACCCTAAGAATGTGGCTTTAACTGCAGCCAGGAGAGGGGACTGTAAACACAGCAGCTGCTGCAGGTTTTGACTCTACACAACACCCGTTGGGAGGTGGGGGATATAGATTTTTCTCATTTTTATCTTACATGTGTCTAGAATACTATTCTTCTCTTTGGACAAATGATGTATTCGTTTCCAGTTGCCGTGTAATAAATTTCCACAAATGTATTGGCTAAAACAGTACCTGTTTATCATCCCACAATTCAGGGGGTCAGAAGGCCAGGCATGGCATAGCTGGGTTCTCTGTTCAGGGTCTCACCAGCTGAAATCAAGGTGTAAGCTGTGGCTGCGATTTCATCTGGGTATCTGATCCTCTTCCAAGCTCAGTGGATGTTGGCAAAATTCAGTTCCTTTCGGCTGTAGTACTGAGTCCCATTGGCTTGCTGGCTACTGGCTGGGGTCCGCTCTCAGCTCCTAGAAGCCATTTTCAGGTCCTTGTGCCTTGGGCCCCTCCATCTGAGCAAGAGAATGTCCCACACATGGGTCCCTCTCTTAATTCAAATCTCTCCAATTTCCTCTTCCAGAAGCAGTGGGAGAAAACTCCCTACTTTTAAGGAACTCATGTGACTAGGTCAGACTAATGGATATTGTTAGCCTGACATGATCAGGATAATATCTCTATCTCAAGGTCAACTGTGCATATATAGCCTAACTTAACCATGAGAATGATACCCTATACACGGGTTCTGCCCACACTCAATGAAAGGGCAGTATATGAGGGCAAAGGTCATTGGGGACCTTAGAAGAATTCGGCTACCACAGATGAGGGGAACATAAAGGAGGTACAGAGAAAGTTAAAGGACCACACTAAGGACAGAAAACTGGAGATGGAACCTACACAGGAATCTAGGGCCCCAATCCTGATTTGAGGCTTTTCCTCTAAGCAAATACGCCATGAGTTGCGGGAGGTATGGGGGAGTGGACAGATGGCCTTTTGGGCCCCAGCATGTTCTGGTACATGTGAGGAACATCAGCCTGTTTAGGCGATGGGGGAGGATACAAGTTCTTGGATCAGGAATGGAGGCCCCATAGAAGCAAAAAGCCCCTGCTTCGGAGAGAAAATACTTCCAGGAAGACAGAATGGGGGGCAGATGCCCACGCAGGGGTTTGGAGCAAATCCCAATATCCCCCAATTCCCTGACACAGATTTCTGGGCCAGCAAGGCTGGGGTTCCCCAACCACTAGAGGGCGCCTGGCACAAACGATGCTCTGAGGGCAAGCAGAGTGAACATCCTTGGAGAACCCAAGGCAGGGATTGGGGTGGAGTGGCTGAGCTCTGGCCTCCAGCACCCCCAAGGCCTTACAGATCTTGGAGACACTGGGTTTGTCCAGAAGCCCCAAAAGGTCCTGACCTCCAAATGCTGGCTTCCTTTGTCCAGCCCCATATGATTCACTCTGCTCATAAGCAAGCTCTTAAAAAGGGGGTTATAGCCCTGGCCAGGTGGCTTAATTGGATGGAGCACTGTCCCACACATACACCAAAAGGCTGCAGGTTGGGTTCCAGGTCAAGGCACATACCTAGGTTGCGGGTCCAATCCCAGGTTCAGGTGCGAACGGGAGGCAAAAAAAGGATCAATGTTTCTCTCTCACATCAATGTGGGGTTTTTTTCTCTCTTTCCCCCTTCCTCTCTCTCTAAAATCAATGAACATGTCCTCAGGTGAGGATTTTTAAAAAGGGAGGGGGCTGGAGTCCACCTGTGGCATGTTCTCTGTTCCTCCTCTGGTTCTACTCCCTGCTTCCAGGTCTGATACTACAGCCCACTGGGGTGGGCTCCGGCCCTCATCCCTCTTCTCCCCTCCATGGTCAGCACTCCCCTCCTCCCCTCACACTCCCTGGTAAAGTTTTACCTCCCTCTGTGTGGGTATTTCCCCCAGGGAAATACCTCTCCTTTTCACCATGTCAGCAAGGAGGAACCAGGTATGTCCTGCCTCAGGTGCATTCCTTGTAAAAACTCAACATATGGCCACCTGGCTGGACTATTTCAGTTTTGTTTTGTTTTGTTTTTAAATAATGCATTCTTTTGTATCTAGTTGTTTTTGTTTTTTTTAATATATCTTTATTGATTTCAGAGAGAGGAAGGGAGGGAGATAGAAACATCAATGATGAGAGAGTCGTTGATTGGCTGCCTCCTGCACGTCCCCGACTGGGGACTGAGCCCAAAACCCAGGCATGTGCCCTGACCGGGAATTGAACTGCGATCTCCTAGATCCTAGGTCGATGCTCAACCGCTGAGCCACACCCAGCTGGGCTGGACTATTTCAGTTTTAAACAGAATGGGTGACCAGTTCCTCAGCTGATCTCAGTAGGCACACAATTCGGCTGTGACAATCCCACACAGCAGACCAGGAGCCTGTGGATGGCACAGCTGAGAGCTGGGAACAGGCACCCAGACTGGGCCCTTCCCACGGGAGAGTGCAGGGGAAGGGGAGGACAGAGCTGGGGCCTGCGGTCAATATAAAAGGAGAGAAAATCAGCCCAGGGGCCAAGGAGGTGTAGCAGGGAGGGGGGAGGTCAGCAGAGGTGCCACAAAAAACCAGGAGGGAGCATTTGGGGTTCAGGAGAAAGGTCCAAATCAGATATAGGGAAAGAGGAATACTAAGGTTGCTGCTGAGCCCAGAGGTGTCCAGTGTCTCTCTGGACAGCTGAAGCTCCTCAGAGGAATGGAGAGAGGTGAGCGAGAGAAGGCCGGAGGTCCAGTACCACCTAAGAATGGAAAAGGATGGGCTTGGGGCTGGGAATGACCAGGCCAGGGGAGGGCCAGAGGTCTGCCCTGATGAGAAAGCAGACCTGATTGGCTGTGGGGACGTTGGCAGCTAGGAAACAGGAGTCTCTCTCCCTGGGGGACAGGGGGAGGGGACTCAAAACTCCAGCATGTGTGTGTGATGGCGGGAAGAACATGTGTATGTGGGAACCAGTGGTCGAGTGCCAGCCAGCCACTAAGTGCCAACTGATGCTCTGGTGGCTTTACTCAGATTCTCTATTCTGTCCTCATTATAGCACCCAAGTCTGTTATTGTTAGACAGATATGAGCAGAGCAAGGACAGTGGGCCAGGTACAGAAACGCACCAGGGCAGGAAACCCCAGATGCCTAGCAAGGGACAAAACTGGGAAAACAAGAACCTTGTCCCCAGGGTAACCTGTCCTCCCCTAGCATATCCCTGGTCATGCCTTTAGACCCCCTGAGCAGTTCCTCCCTAAAGATAACATCTAGACCTCAGTTGTACTTCAGCTCCAAGCCCAGAAAAGCAGCAAAACCAGACAAGTGATGCCTTGGCTGCCTCAGGACCAGCTACATTGGCTAATGACCCCCTGCCCTGGCACTGACCATTCAGTGGAGACCATGACCCTGAAAGAGTGAAAGAGTACACCTGGAAAGCTGATGAATATTCTATTGAGACACTCCTCTGAGACCTCCCCCAAGATTTCCACCTGCAAGAGAAAGATAAGTAAGCTCAGGACAAAGGACCCAGTGTGTGCTCCCCACCAGAGGACCAGGCCAGCTCCATTCCTTCCCCCTTCTTCCCTCCAAAGGGATCCCATGAGACTTGCAACCAGGGGAGCAAAGGGCAGCAGCAGCTCCTCCTGGGCTTACCCCTGAACCTGTCTCCAAGGCCCCCTTTTCTCTCTGACTTCCCAGTGAGCCAGAGCAGCCCAGCCTCAGCTCTCCTGTTGCTTCTTCTGTGCACCTTCCTTGTTTCACTGTCCTGAGTATATTTTTGCTGCCATCATGGACCCAGTACCCTTTGGCTCAGTGCTGTGTAGCCCTTCCCTTTGGATATCCCCATTCCCCATCCCCTTNCACTAAGTAGCCATTCCCTTTGGATATCCCCATCCTCCATCCCCTTTTCCTTAAATAAATTTAATTTTTCTGTATTCACCATCTAAGATGGCTATTTAGCCTCCCCTCGGACCACCAGCTTTAACCATTCAGTTATCATACCCCAAGGACTTGCCCAAGATTATCCCAGCTAGTCAGTGCCAGCACCTGGCTCCTTGCAGGCTCCTCACAATTTTTTGTGGCCTCAAGACTCACCTGGGACTAGGGGCCAGCCCTGACCAAATAAAGCCAAGGGCAAGAGGGGAGCCCATTTGGGTGTGGTGAGGAATATGGAGAGAGAAAACACAGTCTACGTGAAAGGACAAGGTCAAGTACTCAGTGATAGAGAAACAACGTTCTATCAATTGTCAGTGTCCAGGCAGCCGAAGGAATGAACAACTCCTAGGGGTCAGGGAGGCTTTGGCTTCAAGTTTGGGCAGACAGGGAGGAAGGAGGCAAGATAAAGTCCAGGAGGGGAGCCAGGCTAGAGCGAAGGGACTGCTTTCAGGATGGCTTTCTCCTCTCTCAGCCCCTGTGGACTCTGACCCCCTGCTGCTATTTCTAGCAGTGAGCCGTTGCCAGCACATGGGGGGTTAACATCTGTCTGGTGTAGTAGCCTCAGCAGCACAGCAGCAGCAGCAGCACAAGGTGGTGCCAGTAACTCAGAAGCTGAAATGTGAGAAGCATGAGAGGGGCAGGGCTGGGAAAGACGCTGCTGCTGCTGCAGCAGCAGCAGCAGCAGCAGCCGCCGGGAGGGTTTTCCTGGAAGGAGCTGGAGGCTCCACTGTGGCGGCCAAAGGTCTTCCCATCCTTGACCCACATCCCCTCCAAATGACTGCCCCTCCAGCCTCAGGCTGTGGGCTGTGGCACCCACTCAGGGTGGTCCATAGAGCAGCAGGTCTGTGCTGCAGATCTGGGGAAGGGATGGAGGCCCGGGCCAAGGCAACCAGCAGAGAATGCATTGGACCCTGCCCAGCTTTGCCAGAAGCACCGGTTGGGGAAATGGGGAGATGGGCAGAGGATACAGTGAGTAGGGGTACAGAGAGGTCCCTGGGGTCCCCTACCTCAGAGGCCTGGCCTTGACTCCCCCCCCCTTGGGCAGAACTAAGTCATGGGAACCTCCTACTACTCCAGAGTCAGGGAGACACACAAAGCTCCTACCCCCTCCCTGGGCCAGGTGCCAGCCTGCCAGCCTACCTTTGCAGTGAGGAATGACCAGAGACGGGCGGCTTCCCAAGTGTGTGTGAGGTGCTGGGTACTGAATGGGCACATCTCCCTTTTCTTAGTTCCACCACCACCTAATCAGTGTATTAATAGGTAGTATTATTATGACCTCCCCACCTCCACTACAGATGAGCAAATAGAGGCCCGGAAAGATTCACAAACTTGCCTGAAGCCACACAGCCAGTGGCAGATCTGGCTTGAACCAAGGCTATATGACAGCAGGACTTGCAAACCTACCCACCATGCCACGGGGGAAGGAAGGTGGAAGAAGCAAAGTTCACCAGCAGGTAAACACAGGTCTGTGTGTCAAATCCAAGGCAAGAGATGAAAGGCAGCTTTGGGTCCCCCAGGAAAGCAAGGTGGTACAGGCTGAGAATGTATTCAGACGCAACAGCTAAATGCCTGGTCCCAGATCTGTGAACGAATCTGCTGGAAGAGGTATACTTCCCTGAGGCCACAGGATTACCACTGAGCAAATGACTGGTACTCACCTTGATAGACCATGGAACACATCTGGGGCTTGAGGTCTGCATGGCCCTTGATGGAAGAATCAACATTTACTGTGGAACAGCACTCGGCAAAGCTCTGCTAAAAATGGACAGAAACACCTCAGTAGGCATCAGAGGGCCTGGGGGCGAGGAGCTAGAGAATCCCAGTGCTTTCAGCTGTGTGACCTTGATTCACCTCTCTGAACCTCAATTTCCTCATATGCAGGAGTGGTGTTTGCCAGGAATGACACATAGAGTTGCTGTGAGAATTAAATAAAGTGTTTGTCAAAAAACACTTATATTGAGCCCAGCTGGAGTGGCTCGGTTGGTTGGAGCATGGTCCCATGCACTGAAAGGTTGCAGGTTCGATTTTTGGTCAGGGCATATACTTGGCTTGCAGGTTCGATCCCCGGTCAGGTCAGGGCACATACAGAAGGCAACTGATCAATGTTTCTCTCTCTCTCTCCCCTCCTTCCCTCTCTCTAAGCATGTCCTCAGATGAGGATTAAAAAAAAAAAAAGCACATATTGAAAACCTTCATCTTCACACACAAAATTGTACACGAATAGCAGCATTATTCAGAAAAGGTAGAAACAACACAAACATCCACTGATAGATGAATGGATATACAAATTCTGATCTATCCACAAAATGGAATATTACTTGACCATCAAAAAGAACGAAATACTGACAGATATTACAACATGGATGGACTTTGAAAATATACCCAGTGAAAGAAGCCAGACACAAAAGGTCACATATTGCATGATTCCATTATGTGAAATGTCCAGAACGGACAAATCCATAGAGATGGAAAACAGACTGGTGATAGCCGGGGCCTGGGGGGATGGAGGAATGGAGACTGAGTGCTAATGGGTTCAGAGTTTCTTTTCTGTTTTGTTTTCGTTCTTAATCAATTTATTTTTTGGAGCAGTTTTAAGTTCACAGCAATACTGAGCAGAAGGTAAAGAGATTTCCTATATAGCCCCCGACCTCAACACACACATCACAACCTCCCCCATTATCAATACCCCACATGTGAGTGGTACATTTTTTTACAATTGAAGGGCCTACTGGGGTTTCTTTCTGGGGTGATGAAAATGTTCTGAATTAGATGGTGGTGATGGATGTGCAACTCTGTGACTACTGAAACCCAGTGAATGTGTACTTTAGAAGGGTGAATTTTATGGTATGTGAATTATATCTCAATTTTTAAAAAGCACTTAGTAAGAATTCAGAAAATACAGCTCTCATTACTATATCCTTCAACTTCAGAGAGTCTGTTATAAAATGGAAGAGGCCATATGAACACATTTAAAAATGCTCAACATCCAGACAAGAGACAAGCAGCATGGTCCTGGCATCCTGGGACGACTGTCACAGAGTCATACCTGGTACACACAGACGTGAACAAGTGGCCGGCAAGCAGGAGCCATGACCTGTCACCATGACTGATGGAGCATCCAGATTAAGCTCTGCACACAGGTACTGAACCCACTGCCATGGAATGAGAATAACCACAGGTGCATGTGGTGGCATTTGGGATGAGAGTCGGAGGACTTGGGTGGTTGGGTGGGGATGAGCTGGCATCCACAGACCTGTGGCAACTCAGAGATGTGGCACCAAGCAGGGCTGGCAGGAGGGGAGAACACTGAACCCAGGGGGTGGAACACTCTTATCATAGTGCTCCATGGCCCCAAGCAGAATGACAATTGGCTGGAAAAAGTTTACAGCAGGCCTGTCCTCTGCCCTCTGCCCTCCCAGAAGCCCCTGGTTTATCTGAGGCATCCCAGAGGCTCAGACTACTTGGGGTACCAGTTTCTTCTTCTGAGAAGCTCCAGGCCTGGGTTCCTCTCTGACTCACCCCCAGGTTCCAGGGTTCCAGAGAAGAGAATACACAAGGTCAGCAAGCCTGGTTCAGGCCTGTCCCCCAATGTCAAATGACCAGATAGGCTTTTAATGTGGCGTGAGAGGGACAGATGCAACCACTCCTCACAGCCTGGGCCTATCCTCCAGTCCAAGGTGGAACTGAGGGAACAGGAAGGCGACTCCCAGGGGCAGGCCTGAGCCTGTAGACCAACAAGGGAGGCCCATACACTTCTCCTTCAACCCCTTCCCTTTCCCTCCTGCCTCTACCCTCTGTCCTGTGTAGTCCCTAACCCTCTGGGGAGAATCCTCTCTTGGAGAAGAGAAAGGGGCCTGCTGCGTGTATGTGCACACATGCACACACATACACTCATGTGCACACACATGCCCATACTGTCACAGAGCAGATCACATAACACCTAGATAAAGGGAAGAGAAAGGGAACTAGACATGTTAGCATCTTGCCTCCTCTGGGCCAGGCAGGTACCAAGGGATTTGCAAGCATTGTCTAATTCCGTACTTAAAAGAATCCTATGAGATTTCATAGATGAAGAAAATGAGATTCCAAGAGCTTAAGGAATTTAGCCAGCAGGACACACAGTAAGTAAGAGCCATAAAGCCAAGCACAGTGCCTGGCACGAGCCCCAGAAGCCAGTCCTGTAGGGGCAGCTGAGCAGAGTGGGGTTGTGTACTATTTCTGCCCACGCAGTGGCACTGCTCCTTTGGGGGACCCCTCACTCCCACTTTCTCCATGTGGCTCTAGGGGTATCTGCCCTGGACTGGGGCAAGCTCCTGACGCAGACCTGTACAATCAGCAACAGGGATGAGCTGGGACCCAACAAGAGGCAAGCCTGGGTGGGGTCTTGCTGGAGATCTGGGAGAGCCAAGCTGGGCGACACAGAGCCTTACTGGATGGAGAGATGCAAGCCATGTCCCAGCACCATTGCTGAGCACTTGACCAGCCAGGCCCTGGGCCTTTGCAGTTATATGAGTTGTTAACTGATCTTTGAACACAGGCCTGACTGCAGAGCTCTGGTAGCTTAGGGGCTAGAACATGGCTGGGGATGGGGCCTCACCTCTCTCCCAGAATCCTGGGGGGGCCTCTGGACCTCCTCCTAAAGCAGCTCCATCACTCAGTTTGACCTTCAAAGTTGGCATCTGCTTGCAAGAATCTGTCTCCTCGGGGAATTCAGCCTCCAGATGTCAGATCCAAGGCAGCAGCGGTGGCTGCACATGGCTCTCCCCAGAGTGAATCAGCCACATTCCAAAGGTGCAAACACAGACACCACGCCCTCAGCAGCCTGGGGCTGCAGACTTCCTCCCCAGGCCCGCCCAGCCCCCATTCCTGCTCCCCACCCCTCTCCCCTCTTCCCAGCCAGACCAGGCTTTGGGCTTCCTTTCCAGAGACATTCTCCTGGAACTGAAACAGAGAGAAAAAGAAAGCCACTGGGACCAGGAGACACCCTGATCCATTGTTCACTCCCTCCCCTGCAGCAAGCACAGACCCTAGCCCAGATCTCCCCCAGTTATCAGTAATATACAAGGTGGGGCAAAAGTGAATTTATAGCTCAAGCCTGCATGGCTCAGGGGTTAAAGGGTAGGCCTGTGCACCTGAGGGTCATGTACCTAGGTTGCAGGTTCAATCCTCACCCCCAGTCAATGCAGCCAATCAATGTGTTGTCTTTCTCACATCGATGTTTCTCTCTCTCCCTTCTACTCTCTCTGAAAAGCAGTGGGAAAAAGTCCTCAGATTAAAGAAAAAAAAAAGTGGGTTTACAGTAGTTTGTATGGAAAATAATACAATAATTAATAAATAATAAAACAAGAATAAGCTCTGTGTTTCGAATACTCACAACTATAAACTACTTTTTCCCTACCCTGTATGGGTTCATCCACTCAACAGGTATTTATTGAGCACCTACTGTGCGGCAAACCAGATACAGAAAAGCCCCTGACCCAGCAAGACTCAGACAAAATCAGAAAATAATTCCAAGTATGGGAAGAGCTAGAGGAAAGAAGGAAGAAGGGGCTGAGGCTGATGGCAAATGACAGAGGGAAGGTTATGAGGTGGGGGCAGGGGGGCCTGCTCAGGGGGAACACATAAGCGAGGCCTGAAGGATGAATCAAAGCCTCCTCTAGAGAGTCACTTCTCCGTAAACACTTCATGAGAACTACAGCAACATAACCGCAGAGAATCTCCCTCAATCACTCAAGTTCTTGAGTCCACTTCCTGGTGCCTTCTGTCAGCATTAATGCAGGAAAGTCTGGCTAATATTTTTTTTAATAAGAGCTTTAGTGAGATATAATTCAGATACCATACCATTTACCATTTTCAAGTATACACTTCAATGTTTTCAGTATATTCGCCATGTTGTGCAACCATCACCACAATCAATTTTAGAACATTTTCATCACTCCCAAAAGAAACCCTGCAGCCATGAACAGTTAGTCTCCAACCCCTGTGCCCACTGCCCCTGGCAACCAGTAGTCTATTTTCCATCTCTATGGATGCTTATTCTGGACATTTCATATAAATGGAACCATACCGCATGTGGGTGGTCTTTTGTGTCTGGCTTCTTTGCTCAGCATGCTATCAAGGTTTACCCATGTTGTAGTATATATCAGAACCTCATCCTCTTCCTGGCTAAATAATATTCCATCGTATGGCTAAACCACATTCTATTCAACCACTCACCAGTTGATGAACATTTGGGTGGTTTCCTCCTTTTGCCTGTTGTGAATAACACTGCTGTGAACAACCCTGTACAAGTTTTTGCCTAGACATATGTTTTCATTTCTCTTGGGTATATACCTGGGAGTGGAAGTGCTGGGTCTAATGGTGACTGTATGTTGAGGAACTGCCAGACCATTTCAAAACGGCTGTACCATTTGACATTGCCACCAGCAGTGTGTGAGGGTTCCAATTCCTCCCTATCCTCCTGACACTTACTATTGTCTCTCTTTTTTTGTTATAGTTGTCCTGGTGGGTGTAAAGCAATATCTCAATGTGGTTTTGATTTGTAGTTCCCTAATAAAGTCTATCCTCAGTCTGGCTTTGGATGGTGGTACCCAACTGTTCTCCCATTCCTTCCATGCCAGCACTCCACTGCCCCCATCCCTTGAGGATTCCAATGCATTTAAACCCTATACCAGGTCTTGCTGTGATCCATTTCCTCCCTCACAAGGGTCAAACACACATCCAGTCCAATTCAGCCAATGCCTACTGCCTGAGGCCTTCAGGTACAAGAAATACTAAGGAGGCGAGATAGGGGGTCCAGGTCTGTGCCCCCAGGACAGACAGTGAGGAACAGGGGCCTCATGCAAGTATCTACAGGAGTTCCTATACATCTCTTCCTGTGTCCCGACCAAAATGTAAGCTCCATGAGTGCAGAGCTTCTTTATTCATTCATTGCTATATCCCTAGATAGTAGATATGCCAAAAATATTTGTTGGGGATACAAGGGGGTTGTTAGTGGTTAGAAGCTTAGGCTCTGGAGTGAAATGATTTGTACTAGAATAATCCCACCTCTGCTACTTGACAGCTGTGTGCCCTTGGGCGAAACACTTGGCTTCTCTGAGTCCCTCTCATCTACAAAATGGGCCTGATAACAACAATCTACCTGACACGGTAGTTTTGAGAATTAAATAACGTAATACAGATCAGGCAATATTACGTGCCAAGGACCCTTAGAGATGAGATCACGTAATGTCAATCCTCACAAGAGTCTTGTGAGATGGGACTATTATTACCAGCTTCCACATTATAGAGGAAATAGGAACTCTGAGGGCTCAAGGAATCTGTCGGGTCATAAGGCTGGTTAAGACAAAACCAGGATCTAAACCAAGACCCCTACCTCTAGGCAAGGGCAGTGTGGACGAATGCCCTGTGGCCTAACACAAATGGAGGAGAGCTGGGCAATCTCTGGATAGATGACAAATTAGTCCAAAGTGCTCATCATATACCCGTGGGCTCAGTGTCTGGCTCTGAGCAAAGTGAGCAGGACACTGGTAAGTTTCAAAGACCCCAAACAAGGGACTGTAGTGCTTTGGCGGGGGCTGGGAGGGTACAAAGAGATCCTGGGACTGCAAATCTGGGGCACTAGAACAGACACCAATGGGGGTGGGAGGCTCAGGGGTCAGAGGTCAGGAAGATAAGATGGTACTAATAGTTTTATCAGGGAAAGCAAAAAGAACTCAGAAGTGTCCAACAGGGAAGCCTGGCTACTAAGAAGGGCTCCCATAAAGATGGCAGGCCTCTTCTCAGGGTGTGCAGCCTCAGGAAGGAGCCACACAGCATTCACCCAGTTGGACCACCCTAAGTGACAGGTGTGGCTAGGTTGTTCTCAAATCAAAGAGCCTATCTTGGCCTAGGGGAGACATCAAACTAGCCCCTAAAAAAGTGGGGTTGGTGCCCCCTAGAGGCTGGGTATAAATATTGGGAGCTTTCTTGAGTAGAGGTGGGGTTTCTTTCCCCTCACTTTTGCTCTTGAATTGAGGAAACCCATCAAGTACAAGAGGTGCAAAGATGAAACCTTAGGGAACACCTACTTCTGGGACCATAGGCAGACCCTGAGAGCTTTAGGACATAAGCAGAACCTGGTGCAAAGTGCTGTGAGGGGAGAGCTCAGGACAGAGCAAGCAGCTCAGGAGTGAGTGGGTGATCTAGGGCAGCCAGATCTTTGGGGATACTTGGCAGGGGAGGGTTGGAGACGGGGATATTGCTTGAGACTCCCCATATGTACCTGGATCAGGGATGGAACACAAAACCCACGTATGTGCCCTTTGGTGCACAAAACAATGCTCAACCAACTGAGCCACTCCAGCTGGGCTCCATCATTTATTTTAAACAGGGGAGAAGCTCAACTGATGACAGCATTCCAACTGAGAATGTGTTTAAATTCAGTTGTGGAAAACCATTAGGCACACCAGTCTCTTATCTGCCAGAAGGCTTGGAAGGGGTTTCTCACAGCTGCCTGGCTGGGAGGCCTGGGACAGTGGTTTGCCGGGTCTAGTCAGAAGACCACATGCATCACAAATCACTTGAGCTTGTTAAAAATACAGATCCCTAGACCTTGTCCCAGACTTACTGGTGAGCATGCTGAGTTTGAGAACCCATTGGGGCTCTAAGACTCAGAATATCTCCAGGGAGCCAAAGAGGGTAGGAGGGACCAGATCAACAGGAAGCAATGTGCAGAGTGACTGTTAACAAGCCCTGGCCCACAGGGGTCATTTGAGGGGACCAGCTCCCATCTCCTTCTGGCCTTCTATTCACTCAAGTCTCATGACTCACATGTGCCACCTCAGACCTCTCCCCCTCCATCCTGTACCCTCACACTCAGTCAGTGGCCATAGCTTCAGCTGTGCCCTTAGTTCAAGGCCAGGGAGTGCAAGTAGGTTCCAAGTGCCCAGGCAGAATCATTCAGTCCTTGGGCCAGGGCCCAAGACTAAAGCCTGAGATTTCATGAGGAAGCCCCTGGCTGAAGACACTGGCAGGTGTCCCATATGGTGCCACTGGCCCCTCCTATACCAGTCTCACCCTGAAAACAGACTGACTGATTCAGCTCAGTTGTAAAAGCCTGGGGATTAGGCCAGGGGATTGCATAGCTCAGAAGAATAGGAAGTGTCTCTGTCCCCTTTGGTCATCATCACCTCCCCATCCCTGTGCCCCCACAGTGTGTGTGTGTGTGTGTGTGTGTGTGTGTGTGTGTGTGTGTGTGTGGTGGGTGGGTCTCCAAGGTACCCACTATAGCAAACACATGGCCACATATAAAATACATCCCTTCTGTTGGGGTGAATCCACTCTCTGAGGGGCAGGGCTTGGGCTTTGGACTCCAATGGTTTGGGGTTTTTTGCACTTGGATCCCATAGCTGCGGGCTCTCAGGTGAACCACTTAACATCTCTGAGCCTCCCTCTTGTCTATTACATGACCTAACAGTAAGTTACCCTGTGGTCCTATACCACTAGGACCTCAGACTCACTGGTATCTTAAGGTTCAAACACAAAAGGCTGAGTTCCACTCCTAATCCTCTTGGGGTCACATTTCATACCATAACCCAAAGGCCAAGAGTAAAACTGTGACAGGCTGGGAAAGAGGTCTCCATGAGAAACCCACAGGCCTTCAGTGCGTTGGGACCTGATCACAGGCAGTCTTCACAGGAGCATAAAATTATCTCCCCCCACTTTCCACAGCAGAGAAACGATGGGCACAGCCAGCAGAGACCAAATCGGCAACTCTGAGGCCCTTTCTACCACATCTGGTCCGCGATCAGAGAGCCTGCTTGCAGGCACAGACTTGGGTGGGTTTCATGGGTGTGCTTTTTTTGTTTTT